GTCTGATGCCATCGTAGAGCATTATTAATTATTATAAAAAATAAAAGCATGTTTTAAAGGTAGGGACGAGTTTTTTAAAACAAAAAAAAATTGTAAAAGCCAATAACTAGAAAATTTTATTACGGTTTCTACCATATTCGAAATATGACACACCACTCCGTCTAATTCCTTACCCTTTGACATTTACCACTAAAATTTAATAGCATTAATACCCTATATACATATAGAAAAGCCTTGTTAAGTTTCAAAACTTTTGGTTTATTCAGTCTCGAGATATAATACAAAAATAGACTCTGACACCTGACAATAGCATTTAACACAGTAAAGTTCGTTGCTGTGGCAATTTAATAAAATGGTTTTTAATTAAGCAGAAACAATTCTGTAGTCAATACACTTAATACTGAAAGATAACAATAGTAATCGGAGCTCTTGCTCTCTAAGTAAGTATTGGTATGAATTAAATATAGCCTAAACATTTGTCGGGATATTTCTATCAGTCACAACGTCCCAATTTATGTGTCTCTAGATACTTCCCTGCCATTTTTTCTCGTTGTTTTGACAACAATAAAATATAGAAATCCTTTGGCTGGTGTCGGAACACGGCCCTGTGTACGGTGGAGCCCATCAATAGTTGGGAAATTGTGGCTTACATTCTGTATCTATCACTGTGAGTCATCACCCTCTTGGCCTTTTATTCCTTTAAAAGTCGTGCCATTGGAAGACAGAAGCCACATAATAAATAATGAATTCTCTGAAATTTGACAGTTCGTCAAACAGTGGCTCAGAACTGTCTACATCGTTGTCAAATCAATGAGAGAGATGTTAGCACGAACAGGTAGATTACGGGGAAAAACATAAGTTGAGACTATGTAACAATGCAGTTCACTGCCATTACTACATGATGGTTTCCAATGATGCCGGATTAGTGATGGTCAATGTGTATTAGTTTTTGTGAATTATAAAAAGTATTGGAAAGATTTCAAAATTTTGCATATTTAGTGTGTAAATGGAGTTTCTAAAGCTGTTGTGAAGAAGGGCCACTAATTATGAACCTTAGAAGGGTCACGAAAAAGTTAAATTTATAAGCATTTTTTGTTACTTTTTAAATATTTGATCGGCGATTTGGTGTTAGTAATTTCGAATTCAATTTTGACTGGCGGCCGAGTTTGTTACTGACAATGTTTGTGGAAGAGCGAACACTAGGAAACATTTCGCTCATGCAACCAGTCACTTGATACAGTCAATTGCTGCTTCCATCTAGAGACTTAACTGTTGTTGCATTTTATTGGTAATAGAATGATCACTATGAATGATGCAAATGACCACAATGAACAATACAGACAAGGCATTTTGTTGATTCTAAAGTTTAGATTTAGTTTTAAAAGTGTCCGAATGTAATTTTTAAAAATATTTTTGGTAGGAGTGTCGAACGGAGACGAACTCTTCTATCTCTTCAACTTGCACCTGGGCGGCATTCGACCACACTCTCACTTGGACAACTTGATCACCAACCGAGTGCTGACTCTGTGGACGGATTTCTGCAAGTTCGGGTAAGATCTTTTCTTTCGTTGCGTTCGAGTCCGTTTAACACAGACGATGACAGCGTGGTTTTTACAGGAAAGCGCCGCAGTTCGTCAACTACGAGTACCCAAAATGGGAGAACTTCCGACCCGATAGGAAAGCCTACTACAGGATAGGACGCAGCCTGACTGTCGATTTGGACTATCGATCGCGAGCCGTCGATCTGTGGCTTCGGAGGTTGCCAGAAATCTCTGCAGCCGACAATCCCACCAGTAGCCCTCACACGCAGTTACCGGGGGTGGAGCCCTTCTATCGGACTCTGGCTTGGGCCATGGTTGCCATTTGCGTGGCCCTCTTGGTGCTGGTGGTGGTGCTGTTGGCCATTCTCTACAACCAGAAGAAGAGCCAGAGCTTCAAGGCCAACCACGAGAATCAATCGGGCATGTCCGCCTCCACTCTGTATTGAAGGTGCCTCCGGTCCACCGTCTTCCTGTCGCCCGTCCGTCGTGGCTCCTCATCTGAGCGGCGACTCGGAATCGAACCAGAGAAAGACCGGGAGGATGGACCAAAACGCGTAATTCGTCATAGCCCATCCGCGTGTGCAGGAAAGCGGCGTGTTCTTCAATCCTGGGCTTGGATCGGCCCTCTAATAAGCACGCGCCAAAATTGCAACAGACATTTGTAAATATTTCTTACCAATAAAAAGTCGTTTCATTATTTAGTTAATTATTTTTTTTTCCGTTCTCGACTATTGCGGGGAAGGTATATCACGAGGATTGGTCCTGACGACCAATCCTCGTGGTATAATTCCAGTCACGTTAATTGAAAATGGATACGTCAACGTCTACCTTCGACCAGTCACGTCCCCAATATCAATACCCGTTCCGGGATTTTTTCTATGGTCAAAATTTCGGTTTGTTCTCTATCCCAGTGCCATAACTCGGTGGGTGCAATGGGTACACAGCCACAGGGTCCGAGAGAAAAGGGCCCTGAAATGAGGTATAAAAGTAGATAAATTGTAGTATCAAGTGTTTAATTGAATATTATTTTAAATGTAAAGTTAATAAGTTTTCAATGTCTGATTTAATAAATGATTATCGTGTCCGGTAGACGTCCAAAAGTGTTTACATTTATTCTCTTGTACTGTAAAGTTTCATAACGTAATTGGTTTGCTTTATAACTATAACTAAAGGGTTTATTACTGTAACAGCACATTCTAGTCATCAAGATGTGGTAACAACAATTACAATCAAAAGTCTGATGGCCTGGAATAGATAATGAAGAGGAAGAGACTACGAATATCACGCTACGCCATTGAAGTTTACCCATATTGGATAGTGTAATTTCAGCGAAGAATTTACTGTATTTTATCGGTAATTTCTGGTGAAAACATTGACACGAAAAGAGGTCGAAGTGGAAGTTTTGAAGAAGGGGAGGGTGGTGGTCGGGAGGTGTGTCCGTGACAAAGTCGGAAGCCAGCGTAATTAGCCCGATCGGAAATCTGCTTTTCGTAACGGAGGAGTCCAGTATTAAATGGCAAATAAAGAATCGTTAGCGGGTGTGTCTCCGTATTAAAACTAGCTTCATTTCTCTTTGTTTTTGCGTGCCAGTGTTAATTATAGACGGAGGAAACAAAACAAGTGGTTCGTTTCTCTTTTCCGAATAAGTATGGCGACTTGACTCCGAGTGACTGGAAAACTTAACACGTGACAAAAATATCTTAATTATTACGTTTTTACTCTTAATTACGTTATATCGTTAACTAACAGATCGACTCGGCATTGCCAGGATTAAAGAGGAAGCAAAGTTAATACGTTTTGTCATTGGTTAATATTGACACATAAGAATGTATACGACAAAGAAAAACGAACGTACTGTACGTAATAAATAATGACGTATTCTTATACAAATGGAGAGGTTGTTCAGAAGAGAGGTTGACGTGTCGATTTCGAACGGCAAGCACCTCCCTATTTTCCATAATTTTCGATTTTACGTAAGAGAAAAACTGACGAAAACGAAAACGAAACTTTCATCGATAACACTGCATTTTTGATGGTCGGTTTTGTTTCCGGAGACGATTATGGTTTTTCTTGACGTTCGTCGATAACAGGAGAAGAAAAGGATTGCATTTCCTCGTTGCCCAGCGAAGACACAACCCAAGAAACTCGCCAATTGTTTTATTCTGCGTAAAGAAACGTAAGTAATTAGATTTGTTCAATTCGTTGACGACGTTTAAACGATCTTCTCTATCCATTATTGTTTTAATTTATTTTTTTTTCTTTTTATTGTTTTGATCATTTCTACTCTCTTTTTACCATTCAAAAATTTAACCATACGCGAGTTTTACCATCACTGGTGACTTAATTAACTTATAAATTTACATCTATACAGAATATTTGAATGCATTGAAAACCCGATTGCCCTGTATGGATGAAGATGTAATGTCTCCATCACCTACCACCATCAGTGGTACAAGTGTAATACACTTTGAAACACACTATTTAGTTGCTATATTTACACAGAAACAATTACATTAATAAAAAAAATGAACATAAATTCACTCAAATTTTGATTTTGTAACATAACACTTTCAAAGAAATAAGATACCGTTATCCCATCAAATATAATGGGATAACGGTACCTTATTTTTCTTTCGAGTTCGTCAACGATCGAATTATTCACAAGGAATCAATCCTTGAATCGGGAAGAAAGAATTGATAAAGGAGAATGTTTAATACAGGATTATTTGTTACAAAATGGCTCCCGACCCTATTGCACAATAGAAGAACGGGATTATATTACCTTATTCTATTCTAACATTCTTTATTCGGATGCAACCAAAAAGAGAAAGAGAAATTGATTGGTCCCTTTTAAACTTTCTATTTTAACGAGTGTTTCTAAGCCATTTTCTACCACTTCAGAAATTACGAACGACGAGAAACAACTTCCTCCTATACTAAAAATTTGCATCGTAATTAGACAATTTAATGTGGAAAAACCGAATAATTTATCTCTATTGTATATAAAATTTATCAATAAGACACAGAATATATAGAATTTATGTATATATATTTTTATAGTTTAACGTATGGATGGTTCCGCGCACAAATCTATTTCTTTGTTTTTCTTTATTACGTTTTTGTATTTGTTTACCTCATTTCTACTATCGATCGAGTCTGGGTCTGTTTGGTGTGTTTTATTAACCAATAAATATCGATCGATGGAAACAAAGCAAACGGAGAAAGGGGAAATTTCCGATTCTTCTTCATCGTCTTCTTTCCTAAATCGTTAAACCCAATCGAGTGGTGACGAAAGCTAATTGTTAGTCGTTAGAGAAACGATTAGGTAGGTTCTATTCGATTGAAAAGGGTTTATACGAGGAGCACCGACGATCCGGAATATAGGATGCTCTCACTACATCGTTACTTATGGACTGAATCTTTCATTCTCTCCTCTTTAAACGCAAAAAATGTGTCGAAACTCTTTCGTCTTCAGCATTTAAGAGGTGACGAAGACTTTCTCTTGGTTTTCGACCCTTTCGCCTTTTGTTTTGGAAACAAAACGTAACCTAAAACGAATTCTCTTCACCCAAATTATACGATTTTTCTACGTTAATCGAAGCCAAACGGAAGCTCGAATATCACAATTAAAAAGTGACCAGCGGAACCGGAAGTGCTCTTAATTACCGTTGCTAATCCCGAAGGAGGCTTCGTTCGGGAGGAGATTCGATGCAAAATTCGTTCGGGGTAGGAAAGCGCCGTCGCCGTCGGCCGTGTCCTCCGGCGCCGGCGGAAATTCCCGCGACCTCGACCGTCGGACCGGCCGACGGTGGACTTTCCCGCTCGGATGCAGTCCTAGGGCCTCCTCCCTTTCGGCCCGGAGGAGGGCGGACGGGCGGTCTTCTCCGCCCCGGGCCCGGCCCCGGGGGCGCCGAGGGAAGGAATCGGCGATTCTGACCGAACGGCGGACGACGCCGAGCGGCGTGGGCCGACGGCCAAGGTCGGTCGGTGGTAAAACCCGAGGGGAATTACGCGCCGGCCACGTGGGTGCCGTCGACGTCGGCGGCGCGGCTTTTTGCCTCCGACCGGTCCGTTAAAGTTTCCGGCATCCGAGCGAGGGAACAAATCGCTTTTCCGTCCGGGCAGCGCCGAACCCATGACTCAGGTAAGTAGTCTTTTCGCTCTCTGTCTCTCTCTGCCGTTCCCGGCATTCCCCGGAAAGAAATTCGCGTGTTATCGGCGCTTCTCCTCCTCTTCCTCCTCCCCATTCACCGCCGACGGGCTCCAAACGGGAAAGTCCCTATGCGGTCTGCTGTCCCTCCACGGTAGCAGCTTGTAAGGAAGAATGGAGAAAAAGCTTTAGTTACGTAAAGGAAAGATAGAACCGTTACGGAAACGGAAAAGGAAAGCGACGGAGCGTTTTTATCTCGCAATTTCGCGTTATCCTTAATAATGTAACCGAAACTCGACCAATCCCCCCTATTCGTCCGCTTCTTTGTTTACCTCCGGAGGAATCCGATGATCGCTTTCCTCTCTCTCTCTCTCCAGAAAGAAAATCGGAACAACTCTTAACCGCAGCGATCGAACGAGAAACGTGCTTATAATATTGTATAGTAAAGTACAGTAATTTGAGAAAAGTACGCAATTTTCTCTTCTGACCACCCCGGAGTAGGACGGATCGTAATTTTAATAGGAAAAGAACAAAATCGGACCAGTCGACGAGGAAAGGGGAATGCCAGATTTTTTTAGGAGGCTGGGGATATACCCAGATGATATTTTGCGATGGTCCGAAGATCTAACTTAATTAACGGACGTGAGGAGTAAGTTTGTGACGAAAGGATCTAAGACACAAAATGTCGGAATCTGGTAAGGGCCACCGTTCCGCGGTCGTGATCCTCGTCTTCTTATTGGTCATTATTGATAGGTTTTGTCCGTGTGATGCCTTTAAGGAAATTTAGTTTTATTTTTGCTTTTTTTTTTCGTACGACTTTTCTTACTGGACGAAAATACAACTAAGATAATAGACAGATTTAATTAAGAAACAGAGGAATAACTATGTTATACTGGGTATTTATTTGCATTGTTTATTCCGAAGTATTAGGCTAATACTTTAGAATTTTTTATTTCGGAAGTTTTATCATTCTGTTGCCTATTTATTTCTCAAAAAGAAACTATCTAGAGATAGTACTTCGTTTGATAAATGATAATTAAATTTAGATACGACTAATTTGGACATTTTGGAATGGATATTTCCATTGTAATTTCCCTTCCTTTTGTAAACATCTAAATTCTACTGTTGGGTTGCTGTCGAAATTTATTAATTGTAATATTTTTTCTTACTTTTTAAACTAATAATTCAAACAGTCGATCTCGTATCCGCTGTTCGAGACATTTGAAGCATCGTTCGACCTTTTCCATTTTGCAATTTTGTCTTTTCCTTTTCCATTTTGAAAAGTGCAAATGGCTGGATTGTCGACTCGGATAAGACGTCAGCCTATCGCTCTGGAGAATCCGAGCAAGCACCCCAAAAATTTTATTTAAGTTTTGGGTTTGATGGGTTAAAGCGATGCGTCACAAATGCCGTGTGCTAAGGAAGTTCCTCCCGAGATACACATCTATATGTATTACAAAAGTGAAAAAATCCGAAAAACTCCACGCGGCCGGCATGGATCAGGCGACTAACTACTGGTATTCGACGGTGTTATCCTACTGGTCACTGGTGGGCGAATTCTGCGTGAGTGGTTCGTCCCTGACCAAATGAATAAAACCAACAAACATTGGTAGTCGTCGCGCGTTTGGTCGTTATGGAGTCTTCCGAGTGTTTTTCGCGTATATGAACTTAAATAGGGGCCAATTTTTCATAAAAAGTCCTCCCGGAAGATAACTCCTGACAAGACGTACAGTGCAATTGCATTACCGTATCCTATATAACCGTCCAAACAACCCTAGTCACTAGATAGACCCAACGTCGAATTATTAGAATATTGCGCGTAAAAACACAACCTGTGACAATACTAACTTCCAAAAGTTATCGAAGAAAATGAAATTTCTTGAAGCGAAGCTTTTTCTATCAGGCTTATAGAATTGAGTTCGTTCTCAACATTTAATGGATCGATTTTGATAAAACTTTGCCATTTTCTATTAATTGAGACGAGGAATCCAGAAATGCAATGTTAGTCTATTTAAATGTAAAAGATCCGGCAACGAATCGCTTAACTTTCCCTGCAACGTTTAAAATTCTAATGGCTCTATCTGTTACGATATTTGTGTTGGTGAGCTCTACGATGGCATCAGACACAAACCTATTCTTGTGTCTGATGCCATCGTAGAGCTCACCAACACATTTTAAACTAGACAAGAAGTGTATTATAGTGTTAGGATATTTCACTTTAAAAAAATCTATTTACATTTTAAAATGGAAAAAGGCTTAATTTTGAGAGAGTAGGAGTGGGTTTTATAAAAAAAAAAAAAATTGTAAATAGTAATAACGAGTAGAATCGTGACCCTACTCGAGATGTGACACACGACCACCCTTTATCTCCCCACCTCTTCGACCTTAAACCATCAAAATTTAATAGCATTAATCTTTCTAATACAAATCTTCCTACATATAAATATTATACTGATTTGTTTACGCGCAATCTGCAAATCGAATTAAAGAAATGTGTCTTATTCAATCGTTAGTCTTCATTAATTGTGTCTTTCTAAATTAAAGATTAGGTGGTCAAAAGGTACAGTACGGTACTCAAACTGCGGGTATAGTGAAGCTTTCATTTTCCAATTTCATCTGAACTGAATAAAAAAGAAAACTCACCCATATTGGCATGGTTTTCCTCAATTTGAAACTAAACTTTGATAATAAATTTTATCTATCTGCATATTTTCTTCTGTTTTCTGATACGGGATGATTTCAATTGTTGAACTTCTTTCTAGAAAGTAACCGAACGATGTCGTTCACTCAATAACGTGTTACATTTCCCGAAATGTTTATTCATAACAGTCGAAGATTCTGCGAATGATCCAGATCTATACACCAAGCTATTGAGAACCTTAGGATTCTTTTAATTCAAATGATTCGTTCATTATTAAGCATGTATCACAATTACTACATAAGATCGCAGTCTCTTTTAGATAAGCATTTCCAAACCTGACAAGATCTATCCGAAAATTCACTCGTCGAAAGAACATAAAAGTATGCAGAATTAATTGCAAGATTTGAAATACAAGTCGACCCCCCTATAACACTGTTGATAATTCCGTTTTATATGAATTCCGTGTTGTACGAGTCACTTAGATTTTACAAATACGTGAGCAGTTCACAGCCCGACACACGTATATGTAAAATCTAAGTGACTCGTACAACACGGAATTCATATAAAACGGAATAATCAACAGTGTTATAAGGGGGGGGGGGTCGACTGTGTATCTAATACGGAATTTGATAAAGTTAATTTCAACGTTGCAATTTATTTTTTTGCCATCTTTTTGCTTAAATTACAAACTTGTTTGCGGGTTTTGAATAGCCGTGGAGTTACCCAAAGGAATAGCGGCGATTGTATTCTGTCCGAGTGTCGTTCCTAACAAAGCGCTATCAAATTTGTTAAGTCAAACGACCGGTTTTTCTGCTTTCAATTACGCAATTACGTTTAACCCCTTGGCAGATCTTCGGGCGACGTCGGGTTTTTCTCCCATATTTAATTTAAAAAAAGGATGACGACGGTCCATAAACGTGTTTGTTACTTATTGTAATTTTAAACAATTACGCTTTTCTTCTCGCCTAGATCCATCGACGTTAAACGGTAGCCGCTACTCCAACGATTCGTTCCATATTTTATTTACCGATAGATTAGGGAGGGATCCTACCAAAGTAAATTACTACCCGAAATGTAGATGTCCAAGCTACGGAAATTCTTCTAAGACCAATCTAACGGATGTAATTTCTTTCTATGTCCATTAATGTGTATTATTAGATAACTAGTACTATTATTGCTAGTATCCAGCAACGAGTTGCTTAACTTTCCAGGCAACATTTGATGGCGTTATGTGTTATATTTTATTAAATATAAAAATGTGCTTTTAACTATTATAAAATGGTAAAAAAAAAACATAATTTTGAGAGTAGGGATGAGATTTTTAAAAAATTGTAAATGCTAATAACAAGTAAAATCGTCATTAACTCTAATCCTATTGGAGATACACGCGATCTTCTTTATCTACCCATCCCTCGATCTTTAACCACCAAAATTAATTAGCATCAACCCCCCTAATTAAAAAAATCTCCTTGAAAAATTACAGAAATTTTCGACTAAAAGCACGGGAGTTATTAATTAAGCTTCAAACAGGGTGAATAAAGTCGTGCCCCCAATATACATACAGAAAAATCCTTCCAAATTTATTTATTTATTCATTTCTCGACGTTTCGAGGTGTCCCGAGTCCAAAAATGTAAAAATATTGGAGACGGGATGGGCATATTTTGTCCGATCGTCACTCTTTTCCTCCGTTATATAATAACAAACGGGAGAATAAAACACTTATGACGTTCCTCTGGCAATGGCATTTCTAACTGGCTATTTGCCTTATAATTATGAAATATTTTGAGAAAATAATATGAACCTATTTAAATAAATTTCCAATTTATTTTATATTATTCTGATTTATAGATATTGACGGGATCGTCGAAATTAATGGCGGTCGAAGATACCGCCAACTCGTGTCGTTGTCATCGATGAGTCAAAATTTATGACGAAACCCAAAGACTAGTTAAACTACAACACCGGTCACCTTGGCTTACTTTATTTTACGATTTATTTTATTATAATTTTACGTAGTTTAGTTAGCATTTGAATATCTTACGCTGTCACGAAAACACAACGCGTATCCTTTCGAAGGGGGAAAAAAAACCACTCTTCGTTACTGAAGTTCTATTCTGTCTTTTGTTTCAGTTACCGTAATACTATATTATATTTTGATTTGTCGATACAGATTGATTAATTAATATATAGAATTATTCGTTTTTTTGATGGAAATATAGTCGACCCCCTTATAACCATTTTATAATTCCATTTTATATGACTTTCATGTTGTACGAGTCACTTAGATTTTATAAATATGTGTGCTGGGCTGTGAATGGCTCACGTATTTGTAAAATCTAAGTGACTCGTACA